TGGAGAGAGTTTGCTCTTTTCCCAGTTGACCCGAAGTCCCAACTGGGTGAGGTCACTCAGCACCATGGCCCTGTGCTCGCACAACTGCTCCCGGGACTGAGCCAGAATGAGCCAGTCATCGAAGTGGGAACAAGGGCCACCTCCGCAATCTTCGCAAAGATGCGGGGCGACAGGGACAGCCCGACAGGAAGGACCTTGTACTGATATGCCCGTCCCTCGAACGCAAAACGGAGAAACGGCCTGTGCCGAGGGAGAATCGAGACATGAAAGTACGCGTCCTTCAGATCGATCGCTGCAAACCAATCTCGGGGACGGATGCATTCGAAAATGCGTTTCTGCATCAACATTTTGAACGGTAGCTTGTGAAGGCGGAACAGAAAGAAAACAAAACATTCTCACCCGGCCCTCCTACGGGGGAGGGAGTGGTGCGGTCACCATCTCCCGAAGAGCTGTCCCCTCCATCTCTGGGTTGCCCGTCTCGGGGACGCTTGTATTTACGCTTGCCGGCTGGTTTGGCAGGGGCCTGGATGGGCTGCGCTGTCCCCCTGCAGCCAGCTCCCCGCTGTGGCCTTGGTGGATGCTGCTGCTGAGGCTGAGCAGGGGCGGAGAAAGCCATAGGGGGGCGCCTTCGGCGACGAGCAGGGCGGAGCAGCTGCAGCCGGCGGCGGGGTGAAAGCAGCAGCGGGCCGCCGGGGCAGAATGTGCTTGATAGCCTCCGTCTGCTTCTGGGCAGCTGAGAACTGTTGGGCAAAGCTCTTGACTGCATCGCTGAATAGGCTGGCCTGGGAGATAGGGGAGTCGAGAAAACTATATTTGTCGGCCTCCCGCATATCCGCCAGGTTCAGCCAGAGATGGCGTTCCTGGACCACCATCATGGCCATCGTCTGACCCAGGGAGCGCGCAGTGACTTTCGTCGCTCTCAGGGCGAGGTCCGATGCTGTGTGCAGCTCCTGCATCAGCCCTGGGTGAGAACTACCCTCGTGCAACTCTTTTAGTGCCTTGGCCTGGTATACCTGCAGGAGTGCCATGGCGTGCAGGGCGGAGGCAGCCTGTCCAGTGGCTTCGTAAGCCTTGGCCGTAAGAATGGACGAGAACTTACAGGCCTGGGATGGGGTTATCGGAACATTCTACAAAACTTCTTTTTTTTTAGTTCCTCTTGAAAATAAGTGTGCCTCATTGTATGTGCACTTGTAGTGTACTCCAAAGTAGATTTTAAAAAAAAGCTGTACTTGCAGATAATATTAATGGAATAAAAGGCAACTTAAGTGTGCTTAAAGAGAGTACACTTTGATAAATATGTTTCTTAACACACTTTTAAAAAGTGCACTTAAGTGTAATGTCAAATGAAATTTGTAGTTTTAAAGTAAATTCTAAACCATTATGTTTTAATAATCTTTTGTCTTGCTTTAAGTAATATTTTGATGTGTTGACTACTAAAGCACATGATTTAGTGTGTTATCCAATATTACAATTAAAGGTAATATATTTAAAATGTACAACATTTTATCTTCATCATTACAAATGTGTAATTACAAATATTTTTTAAAAACATGACATACAAGTTTTAGTACCATAAATGCTTATCAGTACATTTAGCAGTACACTTATATTCTAAACAAAAACAAACAATATTCTAAACAATATTCTAAAGACAATAGAAGTAATTAACAAATTACATATAAATATGCACTTAAGTCCTAATTAAGACCAAATGCAATGTAAAGCTTTAAAATTGCATTTAATATAAATATAATATTACATTTTAAGTGCTAAAAACAACATTTAGTATGACATATATTTGTAATAAGTACTTTAAAAGTATGATAAATTGTACTTCTTTTCACAAGGGGATTCACAAAATAAACTTTCAACTTATGTAAACTATTCTTTTAATTGTAAGAAAAAAACTGTTAGCTAATAATAGATAATGACAGATGTTTAAAGTCGAACCCTAACCCTAAACCAAACATGTGTGTAACACAGTTTGTAGATCGGGAAGAAGGAGGCGGCAACCGGCGAACATTTAAACAAAACTTTAATAATAAAGTAAACACAAAATAGCGCGACAGCCCCTTGCGGATGACTGTCGTGCACAAACAGAACCAAAACACAAAATAAAGTCCAGGCCTGGTCCTCTCTCGTCCAACACTGTCGTCACTCCTCCTTTTATCCTTCCGGAGCTCCTCCGTGGGACTCGAGACCGGTGAGTGGCGCATTATCATTTACTCCACCGGCCTCACTCCATTCCCACGGCTCTCGGCCCCGCCCCTCTCGTCACATAGTGTTTTTGTGCTTTCTCCTTAAAATATAAACCCAAGCACAAAATGTATGATTATATGTGTCACTTTGTTCTTGAATGTTCAGATCAAAGACTGAATTTGAACTCACTTCTAGTAATGAGTTCACTTGCCTTTAATGTTTCTAATGAATTCTAGCAGGCGATATTGAAAACATACTTAAGAGAAACAGACCAAATCCTGACACCATGGACGTGAGCAGGAGAAATATTCTCCCCTCATTCAGCTTGATAATTGAGCTCATTAGTGAGGAACTTCCTCATACGAGCACGTCTGGTGACCTTGGCCTCTGAAATGTAGAACAGAGCCCTCTTGTGAACAAGCGGCCCCTCAGTCAGGAAACGTGCGCTAGTGTGCATCTCTACGTAAGTATGCACACGAGTGGGCTCACCGATACTCCACGTGACGTCAAACCATACAAAAGTGTCCTCCCTCCTACAAGTGTAAAATCTCAAGTCATCATCGGGCCTGAGCAATTTGACACACATCCTGCTGTTTTAAGATCTAAAGCGTTTGAAGTTCAAGTACAGCAGGCATTAAGTCAAATGAAAATGGCAGCATCCTGACAGCAGCTGCTGTTAAAAAGACTCAGGGTGGCCTGGTTCCTCCACCTCCTGGTGCTGCTGAGATCTCCAGCTGTCTGTGGCTGTCTCTTCGTTTTCTTTAGATTACAGGCTTGCCTGATGGACACAAACAGAGCTGCAACTTTTGCCCTTTATTCTTTCTTTTTCTCTCTCACCTGCCACTTAGTAATGTCTTGTAAAAATAATTATTTTTTTTAAATATAAAAGTTATGTTTCTCTGTTATGTTTAATGCTTCTTTATGAAGTTTGACATGCTGAATACTAAAATCATATTACGTTTTGTGTATCATTGACAGTGCTAATGAAAA